TTGGACCTTGGAAAGTACGATCGCTCAAGAGCAGGAATGTACTGTCTAATATCTGGCGGCAAGAATCTTGTTTGGGACACAAAATACAGTTACTTTCACGTAAACGGAAAACCATATACTACCACTGCTGCCCCGAATGATAACAATTGCTACTGGAAGCTTGTKCCTCACGGAAACTATCTCTACAGTATTGTCAACAAAAAGGGATGCGATTCAAMACCCCCAGGTCATTGGTGTGGATCGTTATTATCCTTTGACATCCTTGATGATGAAGGAATCGTTAACATAGAACCTACTGATGGAATTATGTGGGAGATTCATGGCAATCAGTGGAACAGGTAATAGACCAGATCTTCTTATTCGAGGACGTGACATTAAGCAGTACTTCAATGTGAACGTCCTCATTGTGAAAACCAAAAGTGACGAAAACACTGTGAAAAGATAAAACTGTTTATTAAGTAAAATACAGCTATAATGGAAGAGGATGTATTAAAACATTAGAGGGAAAGGGAGGGAGAAAAAGAAAAGAGTTTAGGACAAGAATCAGTAATTAAGCAAATTTATATGCAAAGTAATGCAAAGAGGTAATATTTATAATATGGGTATTTATGAGTAATATTTCTAAAATATTTAGGATACTACGCGCGCTGTGATTGGTCGAAAACCATGTTTGATTACAGTATCAAAACACGCTCGCGCGCGTCAAAAATTTCTTTTTTTCTTTTAATTTTAGAAAAGAAATAAAAGACGAAATTCTGTGTTTGATACTCTGATCAAAACACTTGGGATGTAGGGAGAGCACTCGAAAAGCTGGATACCACTCCGCTACGCGTCGTGGTTTCCTACGCTTCTCTCGTGCTCTCCCTACATCCCGCGTGTTTTGATCAGAGTATCAAACACRGAATTWCGTCTTTTATTCCTTAAGGCATTTTTTTCCAATAAGTGAAATGTATTTGATAGTCATATGTGATGGAACGGCGCATAATGCCAATGAAATGCTTTAAGGTCTTTAAGCATTTGAACAGATGCGCGCTTTCTCGTGAGAGTTGTTCGTGTCAGCATTAACTCGAAGAATATAAAATTTACATCTCGGCACGTCAATGTAACCCTTTAATTCTGATGATTTATGTTCTTGTCGTAATTGTTTTGACAAAACGATTGATTATTCCAGGATTCGAAGCAAGTGGGGCTGTGGTGGCAGTAGTCCTAATTCATACTGTGATAGAGAGCTGAGGGTTACAACGCGTTCTCATTTTTTCCGCCCGAGCCTTTCATCACCACCAAGGTGGGCCAGGATACATGGTGGCAAAGTATTACCAAGTGACGGAAAATACTACTGGCAGTTAAAAAAGGTTGGTTTATACACTAATTTTTGTTTTTAGCTACGCGCCATATTTAYATGGATCATCAAATCCTCGAATGTATTTATTGCATGCTAATTTTTCAGTTCTCTATTTGTTGAAACCATGAGCATTAATGACCAGSAAATCCCTATTTCCTGGAAATGTACATAATGACTCACAAAAAGTACATATTGATACTGCTGACCGTTTCTTAATTCATCAGTCAAGTGTTGAAACTCCTCTCCCCAACCTTCTGTCTCTCACAGGTATCGAGCGTCTTGCTTGAATACAAAGACACACTATCTTTCCGAAGGAGACTATCAACACATTTTTTAAGAGCAGTGATATAATTGAGAACAGTTTCTTTGTGCTTGTTCCTTTTTTGGACAAAATGAAAATGATTTTAAAATATTAACTTTAAACAAATTTTGGTTCTAATCTCATTGTGATGGGCATACCACTGCATAAGTTTAGTAAAAACGTAAAATCTAATGTCGAAAAATACAAAACATTTAAAATCTTATGTTTATCATTTCAGGTCTAGAAGTTCTTGATTGAATGGGAACGACATTATTGTGCTCTTTTTCGGAGAACAATGCGTCCGCCATCTTGAAAAATGACACCCAAATCACTATGTTGTGCCTTGCTGAACAWTTCGTAGTTGCTAAGTCATATAATCTATCATTATATCGTATTATATTAACTTGATATTAGCTTAGAGACTTTTAATTTCTTTAGGAGTTAAGATTAAGTGATTAGAGCCTCAATTTTCAAGATGGCGGAATCATTGTTCTCCGAAACTTCTGACGCATATATAGTACGTTTTGGTCGTGCATTTTGCCGTTCTCTMCGACAACCTTTTTGAATTAGCTGTATTCACATAACGCAAACAGGGATAATTGTCACAACAAAAGATATCAAGAATAAAATAACAATTGAATGTAGTCTCAATATGTAGTTAACAACCTCGTTCCCAGGGCCATCACGGACTCCACAAAATGGCCGGTCATCCAGCGATGACCCTGGCAAACACTGATTATCACGTGATCAAATAGTCCAMRATWCATSGACTATTTGATCACGTGTCAATCTATTCAAAAATGTGTTCGCAACGTAAACCCAACGTTTTTAATCGGGCTAGCTGTGGTGGGTCGACATTTTGTTTATCTGACTGAACAAAAACATTTTAACTTAATTGTTTATTTCATAATTTCCATTCAATCGGCAATATAAGTAAAAGGAGTATGTAGTTTCAGTTCATTCTAGAAGTTCCTCAGGGGTTCTTGGAAAGAGAATGCGGCTGTAGATTAAAGCGCCGAGTAGAAGACTTTCAAATTCAAAGCTTTCGCTAAAATACAGTAAATATATCGGCCGGGTTTAATTACTTACACCTTCGGCTGGCTTCTCAAAAGCATGCATGAGATAAAGAACACACGAAAAGACAACTGACGTGAATTTGAAGCAGTATTATTGCCTTTTGATCAATAAAACGGACATCAAACTCTTCGGAAAATTGGACGCATTCAAAATAACGGTCGAATTTGGTCGAACAAACCCCGATTGAYAGCCGAACATATCTTAAAAATAARCATCCAATGGCAAGCGGTATAAGAATGACGTCTTTATCAGCCAATCACAAAGCGCCTTAGTTCAGTGTTTGCCAGGGTCATCGCTGGACGACCGGCCATTTTGTGGAGTCCGTGATGGCCCTGGGAACGAGGTTGTGTAGTTAATTATGAGTACATTCGTGCATTCGGCCGTCAATGTATTGATTTGCATAGAGAATATGGATTTAAAAATAGCTCTTCACCGATTTAAAACTTAATATAATACTATCACTTTTAACAGACACTTACACTTACACGTTTTACGATCCAAACTACAAATAAATAAAAAAACACACAATAAATAAATTATAAATTAGATACAAGTACGAAAAAAAAACGAAGAAAAAATATTTACCTTCATAGCGCCTTTACAAAAGGAGATTTGCGCATTGAATTACACATAACTATTAAAGAAATACACTAGGGAGCGACGAACAAATGATAGACCAAAGTCACTCACTCGATAACACTAAATTACGATTAGATCTTTTATTAGTAAGCGACACAGGGAGACCGCGCTATCAGTTGAACGCTTTGTGAAAATCAATACACGTACACTATGCCAACGGTTCGTTCTGGGATCCAGAACTTCACAAAGGAGGGACGGTAGTCAGAATAGATATTGAATGGACCATGTTTATAAAAGAATTCAGTTAAAATAACAAGGAACTATAATCTCTTTAATAGTTGATACTATTTTAGCATTTCGTGAAAAACAAGTTGTTTAATTTATTCTTTTACAACTATTGGTTTCATATTCGCCGTATACTGGAAAGGTAGATCAATTTGAAAGGGTRAAAATTACTGTAAATTCTTCAATTTTTATTAAACAATGTACTTTACTTTAAATTCTTCAATTCTAATTGAAAAATGTCATTATACAAACTTTGTTAATTGATTTTACAAGATCTTGACAATGTTTGATCAAGTAAAATTTCAAACAAGACTTTTGCAGAATGACCATCAGATTCTCAAACTTTGTATAAGAACATTGTATCTGTAATTTTCCAGTATATTTACTTATATAAGTATATTCTCATATCATTGACATACTTTGTGAACTTCAACTTTTCCAGTACGATTGTATCCAATACAAAATTTTGTATTTTATAATTTGCTGTTGATATAAATTACTGGCAATGAATAAATAATGGGACTCTTTGCTTTTATAATTACTCTGCTAGTGCAATGTTTGTTTAAACTTCGGTGGCGAGATTTATTAMATTACAATGTTTCAAAACAACCAGTTGTGAAGTACTTGTGAAACGACGAGCTTTCAACCGATATCCGAAGCAAAGTATAGCATTAAGTATTGCATTAGTCAACTGATTGGTAGGAGGAGCTGAACAATCACCARTCAAAAAGGTAAAAAAGTCATTTGCAAATCTCTTCTTCAAATAGTTTTTTTATATGTTTGATGCAACACAGCAGTTTTCCATCCGTTGGTATTCTCCCTTTCATTTGACCCCTTATTGTAATTGAATGCCATAGTGTTTCTCTGTGCCAATGATTTAATGAGAGCCATTATTTGTAAGCTTTCATTTTGACCTAGAGAGAGAAATTCGGGTGCCAATGAAAGAGAGAATCGGATTCATACAATTGCAATGCTGTWTTTGTTACAGTTAACCAGGGCAATAAACTTTTCCACTAAATTGTTAAAAGTACAGAACCTATATTGGACCGTGGATTTCCATATATCTAAATTAAATATCAGCGATATTGTTTCAGTGATAAATAAAGACTTCAATGAAATTCTTTGCAATTAATACACGCAGCTTGTACTGTATCCTTCGCAAGTTATTGGCCACGAACACCGCTTATCGAGGAAATACCTGAGCAATGTTTGCTTGACGTTTGGTGGCCAAACGCGCTTTGAAAGGACAACTAAGAATCTAAATAATTGCAAAAATTCCAATACAAATTTAATGTAATGCTTCTCGTCTTTCAGTGCAAAGCAGGCGCATGAATAACAACCTTTTAAGATCATAAATAAGTTTGCTAGGATATGGTACATTTATATTCTGTTGGAGTCCATTGCATTTGAGGAACTGACGAAAATGTTAGAAAAGAGAGCGCATGGAAATTGYTATTTTTTCATTYACAAATAAAACGTGATATTTTTTCTTTAGTGACCTTTAGTTTTTTTAGATTTCATGCATTTTTGTTTTGAAACCCTAAGTTTAAGTGAAAGTCTTTAGGATGAACAACGAGTTTCTGCTGCTACCAATATTTGTCTATGCTCATTTGTTTTCTTTTATATCAGAATATTTTTTTGAATTATATATTAATCATTTCACCGATTAATGGTTATTTTTGTTACTTCTGTATATAATAGTGAAATCTTGGAGTCATGAAGTTGGCTCTGACCGTGGCCTTATTGGTATTGCTTATCTGCATTGCAACAGAAGCCAAGAGACACAATAACAAAGCCCCAAAGGTATTGCATTTTACTGTTCGTTTTAAATCTCTTTTCTTTTTCTCTTATCCCTCGTTTAAGTTTTCTGATTTTTATGAATGAACCTATTCTTTTTTCCATCTGTTTTCCTGTCGATTCGGGTCATTCAGCGTCACATACATTGTCATTCCCTTTTGCTATTTTTGTCTCATTTCTATTTTCTAATCTCTTGTACACTTACCATCATCCTTCATATAGTTTGCCGATACCGTTAGAGAGAAGGGAAAGAATAATACTCTCACACGTGGAGGCTTTATAAGTAAGTTTATTTTGTTATATTTTGGCGGTATTTTGATATATCCAAAGCTCTACTTGGTTTTTAGGCTGAATCTTCAAAAAAGATGTTATGATCAAAGATGATCGGCAATTTGTWGTTAAGAAGTGATTCTGCTTGAGAAACTACATCAAGGGTTACTGCTTTGAACAACATGAACTTCTTAGACATGAAGCTTGACAACGAGAACACAATATCAACAATAATAAAAACAACTGAAACGATCTCGACAACAACAGCAACAATGAAGACCAATTACTCGTCTCAAACTGATCATTCGAGTTCAAATATGATGCTCAAATGCTTTTTTAATTATTKATTGTGCTAGCCTTCTTTATATTCTCAAATTGATTATGCAGGTTTTGATGATGATGATGGAGATGATGATAGTTCAGAAGACGGTCCAGAGCTGTCTTCCCGTGAAAGAGCGGAAAAACTGAAGATTCTCACTATGGAAGGAAAACCAGGCTGGCTGGAATTGGTAAAGAAAAAGGTAAATCACATCATACTATGCATACTTTCAGCGACCGGTTGTACGAAATATCGATATCAAACGGATAAATCTTTATGCAGTTGAAACAATCTATAACAACGTTTATGGAAGATACGTTTGTCCGGTGGACAACTTTATCTATCCGTAAAGCTTGCCCCCGAAGCGTAATACTAACCAAACGTCAAAATGATCTGCCATATTTATTGATTATAAGAATCGAAAGTGTCTGAATACCTCAGTCAGGTGAATTTATCACAGATATCAACATTTTTTCTGACCATTTCAGGGAAAGGAAACAGCAAAGAAAATTAAAAAGGAAATGGAAGAAAAGAAAATCGGGAAACCAAGTGATTTAGCGAAGAACGTTCAGTATGACTCAAGTAAGTGTGCACAATTTGCCTCAAACATTACTACAATAATGAATCCATTTTGTCCTGGATAGGATGTGATGCAATAGGATGTGATTCAAAGTCATTTTGAACAGAAGTGGAGAAGAAACAACAACAATTATACTACATGCATTGCTTTAGTATTTTTGTGCAAATAAATATGCCTATAAGCATTTGATGTAGCCAGTACATTGACTGTGCAACGGTCTAACACACCACTCTTATTCTCTAGATAGTTTAAAGTCATCCTATCGTTTCAGATCCTCCAAGTAAGCTAATATCAGATGTAAAGAACAAACTGGCAGGTTTTACTGGTCCACTTGCAACACGTGTTAAAACTAAGGTCACCGAGCTTAATACAAAATGGAAAACTATGAAGGACTCTGATAGACAAAGCATCATGGGTACTCTCGGTGTTGTAGCATCAAACATTGAGAAATTTGGCGATGCAGGAAGCAATCCAATCGGCGCTGTCCAAGGAGCTGTGAACATCATTGGTGCAGTAGCTACCTTTTTTGGCCCAGTTGGTCAGTTAGCAAGTATTGGTTTAAGCTTCGTCTCTAGTCTATTGGGATTATTTGGTCAAGGTCCTAAGCCGAGGCCAATAGGTGAAATTGTAAGAGAACAAATTGATGAAGCGTTGGAAAAGTACCGGGATGAGAGCCTGACTGACAAAGCAAGTGGACTAATCAAGGCGTTTAGAGGCTCTAAATCGTACCTAGATGGAGCCGCTGAATCGGGAAAACTTCTCTCAAAAGAAGAAATGATCGTAGCTTCAGCCCGTGTGCCTATGACGCAGGGTTCTGAGTTCATTGGCGAGTTGACCACAGTCATTGAAAAGATTTTTAAGAACTCTAAACCCAGTGAAGCTCAGAAATGCATTAAATACTGCGAACTCTTTGCACAACTCGCTGGACTGAAGGACATGATTCTTACTCAGATGATATCATTGGCGGGTAACGAGATGGAGAATGACGTCAGAGGTTTGATGTCCTACCACCGAGATTTTCGCGAGGCTGCAAGAGTTTTACTTGAGCCACTCTTTACGATAAAGTTTGGACAAAAGGTTTTGCCATACTTTGATCCAGACATTAGTGTCATCACTGACTCGTACGCCACCTCGGTGTTGGACCTTGGAAAGTACGATCGCTCAAGAGCAGGAATGTACTGTCTGATGACCCAGAGTGGTGGTAAGTTTAAAGACCTGGTGTGGTCCGCAGAGAAAGAGCATTTCCACGTAACTGGAAAGCCATATACTACACTCGCTTCCGAGAATAACAACAATTGCTACTGGAAGCTTGTGCCTCACGGAAATCATATCTTCAGTATTGTCAACAAAAAGGGATGCGATTCAACACCTCCAGGTCATTGGTGTGGATCGGTATTATCCTTTGACATCCTTGAAGATGGAGGAATTGTTAACATTGAACCTACTGATGGAATCATGTGGACGATTTATGGATCTCAGTGGACCATGTAAGTCAATCTGTTATGAGTTCATTATGTTAAATCATCATATCAACGAAATCTTGTCACCAGAAATTTCTATTGATTAACAATAAGCAGTGACATGTAGTCAACGCACTTACCATTAAATATAATCGGAGAAGTAGTAACTAAAACGAAAGATAATCCGAATAATCTCATTTTGACTGATATTCAATCGAAAATGGATGGTTTTTTAAGTAGTAACTATTAGTTTTTATTGAACACAGGAAGAGGAAAGATGTTGGAACTAGATTATAGGATTCATGGCAAGTCGAGATTATTGATAGGGCTTATACACTAAGTGTACATATAAAATAAAAGAAACCTTGATCACATAACATTCAATTCAAAACATTGAGTTCACATGAAATGAAATTATGCAGTTGTCAATTCTCAATTGTGTATTACCTTTTGCTTCCATGACTCGCTGGTTCATTGATATCTACTACAATAAATATACATTAATAGTTACTACTTGCTTTGATCATATTTCACAGTACAAGTGCGTTGACTCTAAATGTGTCCGATTCATTGAAAGTTATAGATTTTGCTGAATTTGTGCCGCAATGTTATGGTACTGTCCAATGCGATGGGAATGAAATCGATCTTTTTTATATTTCAGGATTCGTAGCAAGTATAGATGTGAGGATAGTAGTCCTAGTCCCTACTGTGATCGAGATCTAAGGGTTGAATGGCGTGCAATCAATCGGTAYAAGGGATTAGGGCATAAGCWARAGCCAAAGTGGATMAGGGWGCTGGTAGGCAAATTGCTTCCCAGCGACGGGAACTGGCACTGGAAGCTTAGAAGAAAGGTCGGTTTACAGCAATCTACTTTTTGCTTTTGACGGTCGTCAAAGTGATGAAAAAACTCCATTTAGTTTGAATTTTTTCTTTTAAGTGGTTAATTTATTCATTTTATCTCGTGGTAAAATCAAATGGTTTTTTTTTCTCGTTTGGCGGAATTGGCTTTTTTTTCATAATTCTTGGTTACTCTCTGCAAGATCTCTTTTGAAGTTTGCAGCTTACAAAAAAAGGATGACTCCAGCGAAAATTTTTCTCGCATATCAAAGAATTGCCCCACAAAAGTTATCCTTCGTTTAGCAGCCATATATGGTAATCTTACCTTATTTGGAAGTACGATAGGAATGRTTTTTGTYRATTTTCTCGACTTTTAAAGCTTGAAATCGTCTGAAACTTGCAGATATTATAGCGAAAACACTTCTCAAAATCGGCCATTTTGTTCGCTTCCATATATGGCATGGATTCGCTAAAGGAAGCCCAAAACTAAAAAGCACAGGGAACCCGCACGAATGACATACAATTCTTTGATAAATTTAAAATACATTAAGAAAATAACATGGAAAAGAAAAAAGAGGTCAACCTATGAAGATTCTTTTAAGAGCGAAACGATTGAACGAACATGAGAAAAGTCAAATACTGAAAGCTTATTTCAGGCGCGTGGAAAACTGGCAGTGAAGTAGTGATTGAACGTCGACTTTATAGTAGAATTGTTGAGTTTCGCGATCTCGTTTACGCTGTGTTAGCCTCAATTGTGTGCTAAAATATTCAGAAATGTAGATAAAACTCGTGAGATTTCAAACTATTTCCATTCTTTTCTATACTCACAGATCTCTTGCATTTACACACGGGCTGTTTATTTATTACATGGTTTTGAGGCTAACACAGCATAAAACAGATCGCTAAAAGGGTTTATTACTGCCAAATATCTCTCAAGTAGGGATGGGCAAACAGTTGATTGTTAAATTTT